AACTAGATTTATAGATGTTACTCCCCTTGCTAGTAGACATCAGAAACACTAGTTGGCTAGTAGGGCTGCCACAATTTGTTGACATAATCTATGACGTTGACTATTAAAAAGGTGTTAGTCCATCATTTTATTGTTGACGCGTCATATACATACCACATAAATGTGTTTTTGTAACTGCAGTACACTGCAGGAAGGTATGGGGGCAGTATCACATTTTCCATCTGCAGGACTGCACTCAGTTTGGGATGCTATTTACACTTCTCTGACATGAGGCACATGGGTGGAAACAGTCCTCTTCCCACATGCTTACACTACTGTAAATACCACACGGTTCGGGAAGGAAGCTGACTGAATGCAGGAAGCACATGACAACCAGACTATTACCAACACGTATTAGCGTAAACTGACCTTACGTGGACTTTGTCTTGGGAAGACGGCAAATTAAAGACTGTCTAAAGTTCGATTTGAAACTTTGCACCCTTTGTTGTGCTCATAAAGAACTTTAGTTAATTTTTAATATGATTTTCTGGCGTTCTCTTGTTTACGCGGAGACTCTAAAGGATCTGGCACACCATGTAGACAAATTGGCTGGCAGATCATGATTGTGGTTTACCGTGAGCTACAGTTTCTTTATCATTGGCTTTGTGGCTGACTTATCGTGTTCAGCTGAGGTTAAAAACAGTGTGTGCGGATGGTGGTTAAAGCTAAATTTAATGTGGGCTTTGGTATTAAACTAATATTTTTAATATAATGATATTAAAAATGATCCTCCAGAATTGTTTGTCCTTCCAGAATTGTTTCTATTTGAAACAGACTACATAGCTTTTGTGGAGATTTATATATTTAGCTTGTTAGTTTAAGGTTAGCTTCACAAAGTCAATAAAATTATACACTGAAAACAAGTGTCTGTTACTCATGCCTACCCAAAATCTCCTTCTGCTATAAACAAGCACTACAATACATGCAGAAGTTTGGACACCTCAAGGCAAATTAAACGTTTATTAAATTTCAAAGTAAAAAGAAATGAATAAAGCCCTTCGGGGAAATAAGATGTGTCATTTCATTATATATTTAACTCCCATCCCAAACATTCAATGAAACTCTCAGAAGTCAGCATTAATTAACTCATTAGGTCTCATACAGTTCATGTATGTGTCTCGCCTGTCATCCTATGATAGCTGGGATAGGCTCCAGCGCTCGCTGGCGTCCCTGAAGAAAGTGGGTGAATGGACTTGTACCGACAAATTTTCTGACCACTCCAACTTTGCTCTCCTACTTAGGAAATCTCGAGTTAAGCTAACTGATGCTTAAAAGCCTATTATAATATCATTAATAACGGTAATTAACAGGAACACTGTAGAACTGCTGGGCAGAAAGGCCAATTGAAAACTCCATATGATGACAAGGGACCCGGCTCAGCATCGGTAAAGGGAGACCTTACCTATGCACAGACGACCTCTGGATAAGCCAACGCCTTTCTGAAAGCTCGATTAAGGTGAGAGACTGGTGGCAGCTGAGACTGCAACCTTGCAAATCTTACCAAAGGTATATTTGGAGGAAATGGGAACATGGAAAAATTCTGCTTTAAGGCTTGAGAAGAATGGATCCTGTTATAAATACATGTATACACAAACACCACTCAAGAACTCACAATTATCAACAAGTATTATGTGAAAGTGTGAGTACTTCAAACTAATGAATACAAATGTCGTTTTTTTTATTATTGCAGGAAGTCAAGCCTGCTGTGGGTTTTAATAAGCAAATTTGTGGCTACAAATGAGTGTGTAAAGACAGAGTGAAACAAATGCGATTATTGAGATTTATTTTTTTTAAATAAAGAGGCATGTGTACAGACAGCTTTATAACTCTGCCGAAACATACAAGCTCACCTGCCGATATAGTGAGATTTCCACCATTAGGAATTTTAAATAATCCCGACAAATAAATTGAAAAGTACTCTAATTTTAAAAGAATTTATTCCTTCACTTGCACGGGTAACTATGCAAAAATACTTCTACCATCAAAGCAGCGTGTTATGATTTATTGAGGACTCTAAACGGTGATTCACCAAACTCTGAGAGCTTCAGCTATGCAGGCTATTTTCAGGCTGCTTGTACTGCCTAAGCGAAGGAAAATGTAAACGTTTTTTATTGCTGTGTGTTCAATTTATGCCCCAATATCAATGTATGAGAACTAAGCTACAGTGTAGCCTAGCTGATTTGACCACAGGGGGTGACTTGTCTAAGCTCAAGGCTGCTTTCTCCAGCACTGCAGACATGTCGGTGTGCAAAAGGGTGTGAGAAAGAGAGAGACACGCAGGCTCTTGGAGAGCACAGATACCAGCTCCCCTGCTCCCGATCACATGGATTCTGCTGCAAAGGGACTCAGACAACACGAGGTGCAAAGGTTTAAGCTATTCCTTTTCTGGAATACCAACAAACATGAGAATATAAGACCACTATAACTCACCCCCTGCTGGCCTCTTGGGGAACAGCAAGTTCCTCAAGCACAAGTGAGTGCACAAAATGGCTGACCTGAATTAATGCTTTGTGATCTCAGAAGGAAATGACTGCAAAAAGACTGTTGTTTCTAATAAATAGCATAACATAACATAACATAACTACTCGCTGGGACCTTCAGGTGGACTCTTCTCATGTGTGCACTTCCGCGTAGAAAGTGCAACACTTCAATGTACCTAACACCCTGCATAACCACCATGCTTGCCGATGCAGCAGGTCTGTGGTGTAACTGTGAGTGTAGGTTTATAAAACTACAATCACACTACTGTCTGTAGTTAGGTTACAGACAAATTTTCAGGCTGTTGTTTGGCAGAAGGCTCCTCCCCCTCCCTATAACCCCTCCCCCTTACCACTGTAATGTCTCTGGGCTCTGTCTGGACACCCCTCCCCCTCCATGCCAATGTTCAGCTGCCTGTTCTCTACCACTCATTGGCTCTGTGATTCTGTCTCAAACCTGCTCCTCCTGCTGCAGGGTAACTACAAGCTGCAGCACATTTTCTTTGAGTCCTGCATATCCTCCATACTAACCGACCTAAAACATCCTGCAGCGGTTCATATACATACCTTGCCTGCTTTTATCTACCGACTTCAGCACGGTGACCAACAGGATGCTTTAAAAAAAACCGAGTGAACCACTCAGACTGCATCTCTGGACTGCGCGACCGTTAGTCGTTTAACGACCAAACCCCCTCTCCCCCGGTCGCAACGTCAGCCGTTGGAGTTTTTTTGTGCGTGCGCGAAAGGAGGAGGAGTCTGTTCGCGAGTCAGAGGGGGCGCGGAGCAGTCGGTTGAATCCGCGAACACAACAGTTGTTGTTGTGGCACAGCTCACTAGTTTCCCCGGTTCATCTTGAGAACGTGGACTTGATGCAGCACTCATAACGCATCCCGAGAGCATCGGCGCTTCACACAGGGGGTCCGTAAGAGTTGGTTTGGACACCAGCGGGTGAGGAGGGGACCGTACGGAACGAAGCTTAAAATCGCGGGAACGTCGGCGGACAGCGTAGAGAAATTCGGTGAGTCGAGGTACTGCAGTTAGCATGCTACCCAGACAGCTTATTTGTACTTTTATTTAATGGCAGTGAATGTCATCCTTTATGGAACTTGTGGTTCTGAACAGAAACATTTGATATGAATTAGGGGAAAAAATCTGTTACTGGTAGTTGGCTGCATACAATGCAACAGTGACCCCTACAGACCGGGATTACAGCAGACATGCATAATGAAAACCCTGTCAGCTAGCAGTGTCAGTGTTCGCTAAATGAATAATGGTATATTGATACTGTTTTGGTTTTTTTAATCGATATCACGGTGTGAAAACATTTTATTTGCAGCTTTTATTTACAGACATTTTTTTAAAAAAAATTCTCTAATGGCTTATATTCGATTCGTTTTTTTGTGTGCTAGAAAAGTCGTTTGCATAACCAGTCCGGAGTCATAACATCCGTGTATGCTAGCATTAAACTGTGAATTGATTTGAATGCTGATATATCTTACATTTGTTATTCAGGTAGTTTTTTTTAAATTACATACAGCATATATTTTAGAACATTTGAGCTTTAAAAAAATTACATGTCTATTCCTTGATTTCTGATAAACGTTGTGAAACAAGTCACCTTTATCTTTAGTTATATAAATCAGCAGTCCCCAACCTTTTTTGCGCCACGGACCGGTTTGTGCCTGACAATATTTTCACGGACTGGCCTTTAATGTGTCGCGGATAAATACAACAAAATAAAACTAGTACCGGTAACGAAAAAAAGATTTATTCATAACACAGGTGAAAAGACCCAGAAAAACCGAGTTAACGATAAAAACGATAACAAAATAACGCTGAAAACCGATAAAAACCCTGAAAACCATACATTTCACACCTGAGCCTCAACTCTTGCGACCCGGTACCAAACGACTCGCGGACCGGTACCGGTTCGAGGCCCAGGGGTTGGGGACAGCTGATATAAATAATAGTCGCTTTACTATCTGCTGATTGAAGAAAGAGTTCTTACATCTCATCAGTAATCAAATACTTTAAGTTTGCTTCCCAATTCAGAATGTGGAAATGCACACTTGTGTCTCTGATGTTTTTGTACCTCATTTTATGGCTTTTTAGGTAAAGTTCTACAAAGTCAATGTAGCAACTGCGCCATGTTGGTGCTAGGAAGCAGCGAATATAATCAGCATGTTGACATAACAAAAAGCTTTGTGGCGTCCGTTATTGATCTTCTGTGGATGCTAAATGAAAATGTGGCTTTTTAAAAAAAAATAATATCCACAAAAGTTTTTTAGCTCTTACTAGATGGTATCCCTAAATTCACTGCTACAGTATAATCTTTTTAACTTAGCTGTCTAAAGTGACTAGAAGTGAGTAGGAGAAAGCTGCATTCCTCATATTGAGCAGCTGAACCCGCCCCCTCCCCCTCTTGGTTTAAAGTGGTACAATCCAGTAATTTTCCATTTCACTCTCCTAGGATGTGGGTGTGGCCTAAAGTCAATGATCAGACAAGAGTTGAGCAGGTTTTGGTTTTTTTACCTGCCAGTGACTTTACTTGAAAACTGAAATCTCCACCTTTTATGGTTTTGGTGGAAAGATGGAAAGATGTACATGATCATTACACTGCACTAAAGATCAGACACCAAATGCCTTGGGCAATTTCTCAGTTTTCAGTGCTGTAGTCTTTCATCATATTTTCCAACATCTTACATATTTTTTAAAAAAAAATCAGTTAATATAAAGTCAACAGTTTCATATTTGCTTTTAATTTTTTGAATCATGCCTTGTTTCTGGTTTCACCTCCCCCTCTTCACTTCTGCAGTGCTCACATGGTGCACTTGTAATTCATTACAGAGACTGTTGTTTCCCTACAGAACAGGAAGCAGCCCTTAAAGGCACAACCTATTTTTGTGTGTGTGTGTGTGTGTGTGTGTTTAAAGTTATATTTGACTTTGCTGTAGCTATTTATTGTGCTTTTCCTGTAATCCAGGTTTTTGCAATTACTGTAATAGTAATATGCTATGCTACAGTTTGTAGTTTTACCTGTGTTCGCTTTAAGATTGTATTCAGTTTGGATGTGTGTTTTAACCGGTGCCCTTTCGGTTGCAAAAAAACAGAATGCTCGATTAAGCCCTAAACTCCGCACGAAAATGTTTAGTGGTCAAAATAAACTTTTTCCCCCCATAGATCTCTGTAGAACCAGAGGTTCTTTTTGCAACCACAACTGTCACCCTCTGGTGGCCGTCAGATAGAAGCCACTTCCAGGTTAGCTTCGTATATGTTAGAAATGCGTAAAACAAAAAATGTCAGCTAGCAGTGGCAGTGGCCAGTGATAAATTAATTACTTTCTAATACCATAGAATTGATAATATTACACTGGCAAATTTTTAAAATTCTGATTAATATGACATTAAATGTTAAAACAAACAGCAAAAAGCTACTTAAACATTGTCACTGTTTTTGTTCGTAACAAACTGTTTCAGGTGGGAAAAACAACCTTGTTAGTTATTCACAAGGATACATTGGAAAAAGGACAAGAAAGAGTTGTCCTCACTCTCTCCCTTTGCCCAGTTATCTGCCACACGGAATCAAAAATCTGTTAATATAATGAATTTTCTCCCAAATTTCACAACTGGAAATGTACATTTGTGTCTTGGGTATGTTCATACCTCACTTCAAGACATTAAAAGCCAGTCCTACAACATCAGTGTAGCGACTGTGCCGTGTTGGTGCTAGGAAGCTGCAGACATAATCAGTGTCCTGCAAAGGTGGTAATTTGGGCGAGGGACAAAAAAAATGACAGATCTTAATGTGTAGTTGTTTATCTTGAGATAGAAACGAATGAAGAAAGTGCCAAAGTAATAAATGGACTATGTCACTCTGTTTTGTGTCGTTGGATTGGCAGCTTTACTGAAGAGTTAGCGTTTTAAAAAATACACTTGCAGGAATCGCTGTAGCTTATCAAACTGCAATCTAGATAGAGCCTTCAATGTGATAGAATAGAAAAATATAATGGCTAATGTGAGTAAGAGGCAGCTGCACCCCTCCCCTCTTGGTTTAAAGTGGTACAGTCTAGTAATTTTCCATTCCACTGTCCTAGGATGTGGGTGTGGCCTAAAGTCGATCTCATCAGACAAGAATTAAGCAGGTTTTGTCTTTGACCTATCACACAAATTTACTACAAATGAGAAATCTCACTTTGTTTTTGGTTTTGGTGAACTGATGCGCAGAATAGATATAAGGCCAGCGGAGTGATTTCTGAACTGCATAAAATATCAGGCACCAAGTGGTTTGGGCAATTTCATCTGTCTTCAGATTTGGAGTCTTTCATATTTTCCAACTCCCCATTATAATGTTATTGATAACCGTGTCCATAGAAACAGAGAAAATTAAGAGTTTAATATTTGGTTTTTAGCTTTTTAGAACATGGTATGGCCTTGTTTTTGGTTTCACCTCCCCCGCTTCACCCAGCGGCAGTGCTCACATGGTGCACTTGTAATTCATTACAGTCTTTTTTTTTTTTTTATCTGCAGAAGAGGAAGCAGCCCTTAAAGGCGCCACATACATTTTTCAAAAGCTTTCTTGTAGATGTTATATTTGACTTTGCTGAATTTATTTAACTTCTTATACCGTGTAAGATTGTCTGTATTGAGTTTTATAAATCAGCAATTTGTAGAGCTAGCTTCATTAAGATTTTAAGATTGTAAATAAAAAAAATATTTTTTTTTGTTTTCTATCATTAAAATCGAGACCTTCTGGGGAGCTCCATGTGGAGAAAAGGGGGAGTTAGTGTGACAGCAGTCCTGGTTTATACATGTTTGCTACCAGATGTAAGTCGGCACTGTGCAGCTGTTGGCTCATGACAACTATAGGCCAAGAGTTTTTGGCCTCAGTGATAAATATCAGCAGAATTTGATGACATAACTCAGATTCATCTGAACTTTTAATGTGTATATTAGACAAGGGCGTAAAGTGCCATTCAGGTAGGCCACATCACTGTACCATGTCACACAGAGCATACTTGTATCTTGCAGCATTTTCTGTAGAGAAATAATTAAAAATAATATATCACATTATATAACTGGTCAAGTGACAAAATGCATATTGATTCTCAATACTCTCAATACGTGCCACTGCTATTGTGTGACATTATTTGTTATGTATCTTAAATTCTTACAAAGCGGTGCACTTCAACATGAAATGGTATTCATGTTGGTATATCATAGTAGTTATGGTTAAAACCATGTCACCATGGTTATTTATTGAAATTTAAGCTAATTCTTAATAGATTGATCAAATAAATCAAATGTAGAAATATAGAGACATAACTGATTTGTCCACAATGAAAAGGCAAATCAGTTTGTGTGTTTCTCATTTAATTACAGATTCTGACATTTACATGTTATGTTATGAAATTATTCTTATGGAAGTTAGGTCAGGCGTGATGCTGGCTTCCAGTACTGTATTTTTAACTTTAAATAGGAAAAAATTTGCCCTTGTTTGTGAGATTTTGAAAGCATGCCAAGTCTATGAGAACCGGTTTCAGCCAGTTGGAGCCGGTTCCTTTGCTTTGGGCTGAAAATGAGAGAGATGAGAAATGTGATCTAGGTTCAAAATTCTGTGTGCTGGTTATTCGTCGTTGATGTCTTGTTGTGCTGCTGATTAGAAATCTTGGTTGTTTCAGATGTAATGTTGTACTTCACATATAATGATGATGATGATGATGATGATAATAACAATAAAAAAGTGGTCAGGTTTTACACAGATTTTTATCCTATTAAAATGAGAATGTTTGTGCTTAAGACATGCTACACTTGCGTATTTTCCAGCTTCATATTTTGTTGTGGCTGTTTTTAATTATTTAATCCTGGTAGCTGTCTGGTAGCAATATGAGTACTAAGGGGATGTTACACAGAAGAGCAGTGATGTGGCAAATAAAGACTGAAATATCAGGAAAGTTATTTGTAAAATTACAGAAAAAATTGACCTTTTAACATTACCTAAAGCAGTGAATCTTACAATAGT